GAGGAGCTGATACCCAGGGCTCAAGTAGAAAGAAAATGTTTTGAGAACGATGATGGCATCTCCATATTGGACAGGAAGTTATAGAAGGGTTCCTGAAGAAATTACGTCTTAGCCGAATCTTAATGGAATACAGAGTGAGCCAGGGAGAGGGAATGGGATTTAAACCTCAAGGGAGATAAAGACGAGGGGTTCCCAGCACTTAGTACATAGGATTTTCATGGGTTGATGGATCAATGAGTATGTACAGGAACCAGATTAGGAAGGACCTTGTGTGTTAAGACAACGAATTTCAACTTTTGTTGGCAGCAGTAGGCCCTCAAAGAATTTAAAAGTCATAAGATTATATACACGACTGTTACGGTTCTGTGACAGTTGAATGGGCCAGGATTCCAGTTGCTTGGTAGTTGGTGTGTGATAATTTTCCGTGATGGCATCTCACAATACAATCAACTCCATGAGGAGATCAGCTGTGAGCAGCCTATCAATTGAAAGGAAATTTTCTGAGAAAGTGGCCTGTTTCCAATATAATCAGAAGTTGTGGAAAAGTTTGGCTGCTTTTAGCTGGTTCCGGGTCCTGCATCTGGTTCAACATTTGATCTCCAGTTATTTGGACTTGACTAGTATCCCACCATATTGCCTGCTGACCTTAAGAGTCATCAGCAGCCTGCTATCTTACCTGCTGACCTGGATTCATTTCCCTCTGCACCCTGAAGCCTGCCTTCTGACCTGCCAGTCTTGGGTTCGTCAGCCTCTGTAGTCACGTGAGTCAGGCTGACAGCTGACTCACAGGATGGGCATGTGTCTGCCTCCACAGCTGTGTGCCATCCCTTCATCCAGACCTTTCTCCACAGTGGCACATATTAGGGCCACTAGTTCTGCTTCTGTAGAGAAACCAGACTCAGACATATCAGATCTGTGCTGCTGTTGCTTCTAAAGGATTACCCTGGAAAAGACACGAATGACGAGAAACTGAGGGGGAGGGAAACCGGATGAGGCGGCTGTTGAAGAAGAAAGGGTCAGAACCCTGCTTTAGGGGACTCTTCCCGCTCGGACCTTCCCGCCACACAAGGTCTCATGGACGGTCGGCTCCCAAGGTGTGAGGCTGGCTTCTCGGAGAAGCAACCTCCGTGACAATCATACATGGACAGAAAGAAAGACGCTGCTGTCCAGAAAGTGGCTCACCGTTTCGAAGCAGGGAAATCCAGTCCTCCTCAAGTCTGAGGGTCAGAGGTTAAGCTGGGGGCTTTTCCTCCCTTCGGAGCTGCTGGGGGATGGTGACCCAAGAAGCAGGAAGCCCACCGGCTGCTGGAGGCAGAGTTGGATGAATCGGAGGTTGACACGCAACACGGCAGGCCGCCGAGAGCTCCCAAGGTAGGCAGGTCAATGAGGCAGGTGCAGGACCCGGACCAGCAAGCAGTGACCTCGCTTCCCCACTTTTAATAGATGTAGGCCACCCTCCTGATGAACGTTCCTTCCCAGTGTATCAAGGTAGCACGCCACCTTCGTCTTCCCACAAGGATAAGGTGACCAGACGTCCCGCTTTTGGCAGGACAGTCCCGATTTTTAACAATTTTCCCCCGCCTCCCACGGCGTTTTAAAAAAGTCCCGATTTTTGGAAGGATGCACGACAAGCTAGGGTAGACAGTTTTTGGCTGCCATGTGGCTATTTCACCAGGATATGAGTTTTATCAATGGTGTCCCGTTTTACCAATGTTAAAATCTGGTCACCTTACACAAGGACCTGGCCACTTGTAGAAGAGCCCATCACAGAATGGATTACATTATGTTAGAGAGCATCATGGGAGAATCCTGGCCCAGGCAAGCTGACCCAACCCCTAACTCCCACCCTGGTCTGTGAAGGGGGATGTTGTCCTGCTCTTTCCGTCCTCTAAGGCTGGGCTCTGAGCACCTGATCCCAAGAGTACCCCCTGCCCTGAAGAGAGCCCACCAAGGCTTCTGCCCTGGAGACTTTTTAAAATTGCATTTGCTCAGCAAGGAACGTCATGATTCCTTTTTACTGCTTTCCTGCTGGGGGCGGAGCTGGGGGCCTGGGAATCAGGACACCTGGGTTCTGACCACGGTCATGCAGAAGCCTGCCGAACAAAGAATGCAGGTTCCCGCGAGAAACGTTGTTCTTCATTATGTTCCCATTTCTTATTAGTTAAAAAAATTAAATTAAATAAAAACGTTTAAACACCTTTGTTTAAGTGGTGAAAGAAGAGTCCGAACAGCCAGAGGGAGACCTTAGAAACACAAAAACTGCCATCTGATCTTCCTGGTTTTCTGGATAATGTTTACTCTTCTGGCCCTTTAATGCCGAGAGAAGATAGACGACTGTTTGGGGCTTTTATTCTAACCTCATGGGGGTTCTGCGTGGAGCCTCTCCATACCCGCCCCACCCCCCACCCCCAAATGCAGAACCTGTGCCCCTCTAAAGGGGACCACCAGCACAGATGCAGGCTGCCCTGTGACCTTTTGTAGGATGAAAACATGCCAACGTATTCTTCCCCCCTCCCCACAGTCTGTGACTGTCGTTCTGCAAAACAGCGTCTTAGCATCGACTGAAAGTGCCTGTGGTGCTCAGGGAGCGCGGCCCACCAGGTGCTTCTGTCCTTGCCCCACCCGGTCTTCCACCTGCGCGGCTGGTGTGACTTTGCGCGGATAACCTCTCTTACTTTCTCTCCCCCCCTCACGAGTGAGTCAAACGAGCCTCTCTCTAAAAAGGCGCTGGACGGCGGGCTCCTTGCACGCTCCCTCAGTTTCCCGTGTGAGGACTCTTACGCCCCCATCCTCAGCGCCAAGCGACAGGAAGGAACAGAGGCGGCAGGTGTTTGGGGTCTCGCTGCCCAGGCAGCCTCCAACTCCACTGGGAGCTCAGTGATGCCAAGACCAGGAAGGAGACTTGGGTTCCTGGCTGGTATGGGGAAGGCTAAGTCAGGCCGGTGAGCAGGTGTGTGGACTGCGGGCGGGCTGGGTATGATGAGGGGAGGTGTGGGAAACAGAAAGATTTCTCCCAAGTCGTCTCCCCCAAATTATGTCAGACTTAGGACATTGCTTGCAACTAATGGTAAATGATTGTCAAGTTATCTCCCTGAGGACTCCAGCCATCCAGAGCAAGTGGACACCATGGTTTCTCCCACAGTAGACAGGGCTCACTCGCTGCTGTCAGGGACAGTGGATGGCTTCCCCTGAAAGCTTAGGCTAAATCAAGTCTCCAGCTCTAGGTCAATCAAGGTTAGGCCGCCATCATGAATCTAGGGTCCGCCCATCTTGTCACATATGTACCCTTAATCCCTCCTCTTCCTATAGCGTGTGTACCCCTAGATTGTCCCCCTCCTATTGCTGTATTACCTATAGCACGACCCTTTCCTGTGACGTATGTCTTCACCTGTAATTAGGGGGCTTGCACCTCCCCAAAAGATATATAAGTCATGGTTAGCAATAAATATCTCTCGCTCTCTCCATGTGGACCACCAGGTGAGGCTGAGGTGAGCATGCTACTATGAAATCCGTCTGACTCCATTATTTCCATCTCTCTTCTATCTCTCATGCTCTCTCTGACTTTACTATAATCTTGACTTATTATCGCTGTACACTTGCGCCTACCGGACCCGTGATGATGTGTTAGGGGCTGTTCTACCCTGACCGGGAGGCAGTGGGCAGGACAGACGTGGTGGATACCATCCCAAGAACAGGTAGCACCAAGCACCATGGGGCTCAAACCCCAAGTGAGCCTTGTCTCCAACCCCACTTCTTGGGCCTGGGGGCCTGGCTACTGGGTAAGACTGAGTTCAGCCGGCCCCACCTCACCCCAGGAAACGCCTCCTGACCGCAGTGACCACATCCCTTCCAGGTTGCCTTGGAAACGCTCTGTGGGGGCGGGGTGGGGGGGGACTTGGGGCAGAGTTGCCAAGCAACAGGTGGTCTCCTCCCTTCCTCCTTCTTTGAAGGCGGGGCCCCTTCATCCCTTTTAGGCAACCGCCCGGTTCCCTCCCAGCATGGTAGGAAAGCGCCACTCTGAAGGGTGAGAGAGGACCCGTGGAGCTGGCCCCCAGAGCTGACCGATGGTGAGGTGACTACAAGTGGGCAGCGGGCCGGTGAGAGAGGGGAGTGGGCAGAGACAAACCGGAGGTGGCAATGGGATGGACTGTGCAAAGCCAGATAGACGGGAGACAGGTGCAGGGTGGCATTTGAGACCCAGAGTGACAGGAGAATAGGGGGCAGACCAAGCCCAAGAGAGTGTGTGAGAGGGCGCAGGTGGTCTGAGGATGGGGGAGGGGGTCCGTGGAGGGGCAGGGCCTGAAAGGCAGGGCCCATGTCTTCACCCACCACTTCCTCCCTCCTTGGAGCAGATGTAAACAGGAAGAAGGATGCTGGGGGGGGCCCTTCAGTTCTGTTGGTGGCACCCTGGGTCCGGGAGGGAAATGGGGTATCCAGAAAGGGGCTGGGGAGTCTGAGCAGCGGGGGCTGGTGGAGGGAGGCCTCTGCGTGTTGCTCTGGGCCCCATGGGACTGTCTCTTGCCTTTTCTGGGTGGCCTGTTGCCTCTGTCTCTGCCAGGGTCTGTCTCTCGGGTTACACTCGGCCCCTCTCGTTGTTTGGGGGCTCGCTGTTTCTCTGCTGATGATGCCAAGTGGGCTCGCTTGACCCCTGTGTCTCCCAGATACCTTCAGCTTCAGAGCACCCTTCGGGGCCCATGGAGGGGCCGCCTGCGTCCGAGTCCGCCTTGTGGCCCCCGCTGCCCTGCGGGGCCTGCATCCCCATCATGCTGGCCCTGGCCTCTCTCGCCGCCCTTTTCCTGGTGACCACAGCGGTGCTGGCCGAGCGCCTGTTCCGCCGCTCCCTCCGGCGACGTCAACAGGCCGACTACCACCCTCCGACGCTGGTCTGGCGCCCAGGAGGAGAGCTTTGGATCGAGCCCACGGGCACCCCCCGAGAGCGCTCTGAGAACTGGTACGGCTCGACCACCCACCTGCTGATGGACCAGGGCCCAGAGCCTCCCGCCCCTGGGGGCACCTTGGAGGCCCAAGCCACGGCACCCCCTGCCCCTTTCACCCCACAGCCCCCACCCAGCTCCGTGGTCTCGCAGACGCCAGCCCAGGCCCCCAGCCCCAGCACCTTCTGGGTGCCTCAACCTTGGGAGGAAAGGCCTCACAACGCAGGCATGGTGAGCTGGGCCGGGCCTGAGCCGAGGCCAGCGGGCAGTGTGTATCTGGCCAGCCCTCGGGCCCAGAGGCCTCGTCGGCCAGGGAGCCCTGAGCCCGACTGGAGCCTTCAGCCTCGGGTCACTCTCGAGCAGATCTCCGCTTTCTGGAGGCGTGAAGGCCGGGCCAGCGTGGGCTTCTAGAGACCCCCAGAGACCCCCAAGGAAGGCCCTACCAAAGGGCTGAAGCGTGAGGCCATTCTAGGTCTTTTACTTCTGGACCTTGGTGCCCTGGGGCCTGGACGGTGGACAGGCTGGGTGTGTGGCAGAGCCTGGGCAGCAGGGGAGGGGTCCCGGTCCTTCTGTTTGGCTGCCCGAAGCTGTAGCTCATGGAACGGGAGTAGGGTGGGCCAGAGTCGCGAAGACCATGTTCCAACTGAAGACCTCAGGGTGCTAGACAGGCAGGAAACGGCTTCAGCCCCAGCAGCGGCTTCTGGCTTTCTTCTGTCTGCACCTAAGGTCCCCACTGTCAGAGTCAAGGTCTCCCAGGCGCTAAGGAGCAGACTGAAGGTGCTGATGACAAACGCCGGCGTGTTCGTAGGACACATTCAAGGACAGAGGGGAGCAAAAGGGACTGGAGCTGTCCCACGCCAACATGACCAGGCACAGGGCCACGGGCTTACACGGGACTGCGGTTAGGACCCCTGGATTGCAGGGAAGGACTTGATGCGTCCAGTAGTAAGGGCTCCTCTTACCTGGAGGTGGGCCTTGACAACAAAGTCCATTAGGCTGTCTCTGCCCCGCCTCCTAAGGCCTCACCTGCATCTCAGCCTTCCTGGTGAGGGAGGCTGAGCCCTGAGAACTGAGATGGAGCCAATGCAGACAGCAGCCCCGTCCCTCGGCACGGCAGATCCTCAAACGTGGTGTCCGGGCTGTCCTCCCACTGAGCCTGCTGGAGTGGTCCGGAGAGACAGTGTTGTCCTGGGACAGGTCTACTTATAATGCTCCACCCTGAAAAAAAATGGTACCCAAAATGCCCTTGGCGCTACTAGCCATCTCTATCAGCTGACCTCGTCCTCGGAGCGGAGCCAGGAGGATGGGGGGCAGGGGGCTGTTTCCATTCCCTGGTCTGTTTTCCCCAAACCTCCGTCGTGCCAGGCTCTCTGCCATATCCCATTGCCACCTGTACTATTATTTACTTTCTGTTTTCCTTTACATTGGCTTGTTGTTTGCCTAATAAATCTATTTTAAACGGGAATCTTTTGGTATCACTTCTGTAAATGGAAAACTAGCATCACTTGCCAAAAAAAAAAAAGGTAAACCATGAACCTAAGTACAAGTAAACAAAATTCAATGCTGCCAGAGGCATTGAACGAAACACTTATGTGTTTGATTTAAAAACAAGAAAGAGGGTGGAGATTAGATGTTCTAGCAGCAAACCAAAACCTTCTCCCGAAAGCCCTGGCAAGACGGGAAGTGGCGGCC